TCTCTCTCTCTCTCTCTCTCTCTCTCTCTCTCTCTCTCTCTCTCTCTTCTCTCTCTCTCTCTGATTTTCCCCAAGAGATACAGGCTTCTAGGGTCCTGAATTACTTAAGAATAAACACATGGGCTGGGGAGATAGCTCAGTGGTTAAGAGCACTGATTGCTCTTCCAGAGGTCCTGAGTTCAATTCCCAACATGAGCATGTGATGGCTCACAACCATCCGTAATGGGATCCGATGCCCTCTTCTGGTGGGTCTGAAAAAATCGACAGTGTACTTGCATAATGAAATGAATGAATAAATAAATACATAAAGATACAAATAGATAAGAATAGACAGATACTGCATGGGCCTAAGACTTATTTTTGTTTCATTTTGAGTCATGTTCTCATGTAGCCCAGGTTGGCTTCATACTGCACAGAATGGCCTTGATCTTCTGATTCTCCTGCCCCTGACTCCCCAGTGCTGAGTCTTTAGACACTTAGCCCATTCCCTGTGTATAAGATGTTGGGATGGAACCTGGATCTTCACGCATGTTACTTAACTCAGACCATTGTGGTCTCATTTTTTATTTTTTGAGACATGGGTATGCTATGTACCCCTGGCTGCCCTAGAACTCAAGATGACCCTCTCATCTCTGTCCCCTAAGCACTGGGATTACAAGCATGCATCATCATACTGTTCAAGGATCAAAACTGGTCCTCATACTTTACCCCCAAAGCTTGTTGTTGTTTGAGACAGGGTTCAAATTGAGGCCCGGGATGGCCTCAAATAGAACCTTGCATTTCTGCTCCTCTGGCCTCCACCTCCCAAGTGTTAGGATTGTAACTGTGCATCACTGCACATAGTTCTGGGCTTATCTTTGATCCAGAAGCCATTAAGGCCAGCGGCTACAGGACCAGGGAGGAGACCATGCTGTTGTGTAGCTTCCAGCTTTAGTATACGCTGTGTCATCAAGGTTCCACTTCCATTGTCAGTCTCTGACCTTGGTTTTGGGCTGTGAAGCAGCTCTCTTCCCAGCACTAGGTATTTACACTGGGGTCGATGTCGGTGCCAGGAAGTCAAGTGTAACAGAGAAATACCCCCAGCACACTGTGTGTCCATCCTCCCGCCCACACACACACACCATGCCTTAGCACATGAGGACAGTGTCTTACCAGCTATATTCCCAAGGGCCCACACTGCCTGCTCAGACAGGGGCAGATGTGGGGAACAGAGGAGTTCAACCAGGGGCTGAATGGCACCCCCTTCCACAATAGCTCGGGTCTGCTCTGACGTTCCTGAGGCAATGTTGGTGAGTGCCCATGCTGCCTCGAACTGCAGGGTGGGGAAAAGTGTCATCTTCAGGAAGTCCACCAGCTTGGGAATGAACCCTGCCTCAATAATCAAATTTAGAGGAGGGTTATTTTCCTGAGATAGCATTTCCCTGTGCAGTGAGACAGAAAGAGTAGGGAGAGTCACAATGTGTGGAAAAACTCATTTTCACATGCTCTTGGCATTCTTATCTGTTTTTTCCAATGCTGCAAGTTGAACCCAGAGCCTCATATATGCCAGGTAGGTGCTTTTATATGAGCCTCACCCTTAGGCCTTCACTGGGGGATTCTAGGCAGGTGCTCTACCACTGAGCCACACCCCAGCCCCTCACTGGGGGATTCTAGGCAGGGGCTCTACCACTGAGCCACAGCCCAGCCCCTCACTGGGGGATTCTAGGCAGGGGCTCTACCACTGAGCCACACCCCAGCCCCTCACTGGGGGATTCTAGGCAGGGGCTCTACCACTGAGCCACAGCCCAGCCCCTCACTGGGGGATTCTAGGCAGGGGCTCTACCACTGAGCCACACCCCAGCCCCTCACTGGGGATTCTAGGCAGGGGCTCTACCACTGAGTCACACCCCAGCCCCTCACTGGGGGATTCTAGGCAGGGGCTCTACCACTGAGCCAGGCCCCAGCCCCTCACTGGGGGATTCTAGGCAGGGGCTCTACCACTGAGCCACGCCCCAGCCCCTCACTGGGGGATTCTAGGCAGGGGCTCTACCACTGAGCCACACCCCAGCCCCTCACTGGGGGATTCTAGGCAGGGGCTCTACCACTGAGCCACACCCCCCAGTCACTCACTGGGGGATTCTAGTCGAGTGCTCTAGAACTGAGCCATATTCCTAACCCTACCCTGGGGAGTTCTAGGCAGGTGCTCTACCCTTATGCTAAAGCCCCAATCCTTAACTACAAGATAAGAGCGTTAGCTAGAGCTGTTGTTACTTCTGTAAGTCTCTGTGGTAGTCCTAAAGCACCTTTTTGCCCTTCAGGTGTTATCTCTGGCCTGAAATCCCTGTGGAGGACAATGTAAAACAAGCAATTCATCTCTGACAACACACTGCATTTCTTAAATTGCCTTCAAGGACAATGGAGCATGGTAGTTGCCTCCTCCTTCTGGATGAACTAGGCTTTTCTGCATTGTATGGGCATTTTGCCAATGCCAGGAAATCCAACAGGCTCCTGGAGCTCACTTCTGGCTATAAGACAACAAATACCAGAGTCTTCACGGTGATACCTGGCAGCATGGGTGGCCAGTAAACGCAGGGTCGTATCTGAACTATTCATCCCTTTGACGATCTCTTCCAGAGTGAAGTTGGTCTGCGAGAAAAGCCACATTCAGGTTAGTCATTCAGCTTCTGTCAGAAGAAAGCACAGGACTGAGGAGGTGGCTCAGAGGGCAAAGGCACTTGCTGCCAAGTCTGACGACCTGAGTTGGATACCCACAGGGTGAAAAACCCTGACCCTCACCAATGGTTCTGACACTGTGTGTGCATACGGCTACACACACTTGCTCACAGTAAATAGACACCACAAAGAACTTACAATCATAGTAAACAAATATAAGGCATGTGCAAACATTACTTAGCTTAGTAATCTGCCTGACAGAAACAGATGTCCATGATGCACCCACCTCTATGCTAAGTCGATCCATACTAATGCCTCTCTAGGGGATATTTGCTGGCCCATTGGTCCTATAAGTCCAAGTATGATGCTCTCCATGCTTAGGGTAAGGTGATCCTGGTACCTTGAGTACCTTTTTTTAAAAAAAAAAAAATTAAATCATTTTTCTTATTTTTAAATGTGTGTCTAAGGTGCATGTGTACATGAATGTAGCAGGATCACACCAAGACTGGAGGTTCTGAGCTCTGAAGCTGCCTCTCCTGAGCTCTCTGCCTCTACTACCCTCTTAACTCCCCTCCCCATGCCCTGAATAAACTCTATTCTATACTATATGGTCTGGTCGTGTGGCTGGTCCTTCAGGCGGAAGGGATGCCTCAGCATGGGTCCTCAGAGGCACCCCTTCCCCCACACCTGACTATACCTCCATAGAACATACCCTCCATTTATCTTTTTATAAACACATCGGAAGCTATTATTACTGATGGTTGTAAACTGCCTGAATCGGTACCGGAAACCAAATTTGGGTCTTCTGTAAAATGAGCAAGTGCTCATATCTTCTGTGCCTAGCACCTGCTTTGTTAACATTTTATTTGTATGTGTATAGATAGGGTTTTGTTATTTATTTATTTATTTATTTATTTATTTATTTATTTTGGAGGTGGTGGTTTCCTGCATGTAAATCTGGGTACTGTGTGCCATGGAGACCAGAAAAGGGCATTGAATCCTTCTGGGTCTGGAGTTACAGATGGCTATGAGCTACCATGTTGGTGGTGAAATTGAACCCAGGTCTCTGGATGAGCAGCCAGTACTCTCCACTGCTGAGCCATCTCTCCGGCCCCACTTAGTGTCTTTGTATCAGTTGCCATAAGAAGATAGCAGTGTAGAGCTAGGGTACAACATAGTGACTATGTGCTGGCCCAGGATGCATATGGACCAGGGTTCCATTTCCAGAAGACAGAAATGGGGAGGGGGCAAAGTAGGAAAAGAGAAAAGAAGAAGTGAAGGGGGGAGAGAGGAAGGAAAGGCAAAGGGAGGAGAAGAAGAAGGGAAAAGAAGGAGACAAGAGGGAGGGAAAGAAAAAAAAGGAAGCAGAAAAGACACACAGGCAGAATCAGAGGTCTTAGAAGGAAAGGCATCATCCATAAAAGTAAAGAGAGAACTACCAAGAGCAAAGCACACAAGAGAAACGGAACTGTGAGCAGCAGGCTCAGAGAACAGAGGGGACAACAAATGACAAGCCTGTGAAAGCCAGGCAGACTGGAAGAAGACCCCAGGTCACTAAGTCAAAAACAAGTGGTGAGGAGATTGATCCTATACTTAAATAAATAAATACAACGAAGGCTGGGTCCCCTTAGGCACACCCAGCAGCGGTGAAGTCCACCCTGTCACCTGCACACCATTTTTAGCTACAACTCTGCCTGCATTCCTGGAGGCCTGCCTGCACCAGGGACAATCAGATGGCTAAAGGCCAGTATAAAACAATCAACAAGAGCCAGGGCACTATGGCACCACCAGAGCCCAGCTATCCTGCCTAACATGGCTGAAACCGAGACAATGACCTTAAATCCAATCTTGTAAAGGCCTTTGATAGAGGCCTTTAAGGAGGAAATGAATAAATCCCTTAAAGAAATATAGGAAAATACAATCAAACCAGTAAGAGAAATGAATAAAACTGTTCAAGACCTGAAAATGGTAATAGAGGCAATAAAGAAGACATGAACTGAGGGAATCCTGGAGATGGAGAAACCTCAGGAAGAGAACAGGTGTAGAAGATACAAATAAAGAAATCAATACATCAAAGAAAATGTTAAATCTAAAAAGTTACTGACACAAAACATTCAGGAAATTTGGGACACTATAAAAAGAGCAAATCTAAGAATAACAGGAGAAGGAAAAGATTCCCAGCTCTAAGGCCCAGATATGTTTTCAACCAAATTATAGAATAAAAGTTCCCCAATCTAATGAAAGAGATGCCTATAAACATACAAGAAGCTTACAGAACACCAAACAGATTGAACCAGAAAGAAAATTCTCCCACCACATAATAATCAAAACACTAAATGTACAGAACAAAGAAAGAATGTTAAAAATTGCAAGGGAAAAAGGTTAAGTAACATATAAAGGCAGACTTATCAGAATTACACCAGACTTTTCAACAGAGACTCTAAAAGCCAGGAACACCTGGGCATGAACACCTGGACATAGATGTCTTACAGTCTCTAAGAGACCACAGGTGCCAGCTCAGACTACTATACCCAGCAAAACTAACTTTCAATCACCATAGATGAAGAAAATAAGAAATTCTATGATAAAACCAAATTTAAACAATTTCTATCCTCAAGTCCAGCCCTACAGAAGGTACTAGAAAAAAAAAACCCTCCAACACAAAGAGGTTAAGTACACCTAAGAACACACAGGTAATAAATAACCCCACACCAACAAAACCAAAGGGAAGCATACGTGTTCATGTATGTACACACAAACACACACACACACAAACATACATACACCAACATCAAATTAACAGGAATTAATGATCATTGGACATTAATATCTCTAAACATCAATGGACTCAATTCTCCAATAAAAAGAGACAGGTTAAGAGGATGGAGAAACAGAATCCATCATTCTCCTGCACACAAGAACACACCTCAGCAACAAAGATACATATGACCTCAGAGACAAGGGTTCAAAAGAGTTTTTCTAAGCAAATGGACCCAAGAAGCAGACTTTTGTAGCCTTGGTAATAGCCAACAAATTAGACTTCAAATCAAAATTAATCAAAAGAGATGGGGAAAGTCACTTCATTCTCAAAGGAAAAATCCACTAAGATGACCACTCAATTCTGAATATCTATGCCCTAAATGCCAGGGCACCCATATTCATAAAAGAAACATTACGAAATCTTAAATCACACATTAAGCGCCACATATTAATAGCAGCTGGTTTCAACACACCAACAAATGATCAAGACAAACTAAACAGAAATAATGAAACTAACAGATGTTATGAATCAAATGGACCTAACAAATACCTACAGAACAATATACCTTCTCAGAATCTCAGGGAACCCTTCCAAAATTGACTGTATACTCACAAAGCAAGCCTCAACATATAAAAGAAACTTAAAATAACCCTATGCATCGTATCAGATCGCCATGGACTAAAGCTGGACGCCAAAAACAGAAACTACAGAAAACCTACAAGATCATGCAAACTGAACAACTCTCTGCTCAATAACCACTAGGTCAGAGAATTAATTAATTATTAAAGACTTTACACACACACACACACACCCCAACATCAAATTAACAGGAATTAGCAATCACTGGACATTAATATCTCTAAACATCAATGGACTTAATTCTCCAATAAAAAGACACAGGTTTAAATTTAAATTTAAATGAAGGGTCAACATACCCAAACTTATGGGACACAGTGAAGCAGTGGTAAGAGCAAAGTTCATAGCAGTAAGTGCCTTCATAAAGAAATTGGAGAGATCTCATCCTAGCAACTTAACAGCACTTGAAAGCTCTAGAAAAGAAGCAGCAGAAGCAACAGGAGCAGAAACAGCAGCAGCCCCAGAAACAGAAGCAGCAGAAGCAGCAGCAACAGCAGCAGCTCCAGAAACAGCAGAAGCAGCAGCAGCCCCAGAAGCAGAAGCAGCAGCAGCAGCAGCAGCAGCAGCAGCAGCAGCAGCCCCAGAAGCAGAAGGAGCAGAAACAGCAGAAGCAG